AATGCCTCGACAATGCTTCAGGTGGTAGGTGAGTGCTTCCCCAAAAGACTAGAAGGTGTGGGCTGAATCACAGCCTGAAGTATTTGAGGCTTCTGCCTCCATCTTGTTTCTAGTTCTGTGGCTGGAAACATTATTCTCCCTTGTGCCTGAAGGCTCACATCAGAACTGTGGAGCTGCTAGGAAAGGAACTGGTGTTCCCTTCATGTCTCGAGGGGCAGAAGGACTCTGGATGGATTCTAGATGAAAAATTGGAAAGCTCTGCTCAGTTTCTGTGTGTTTATAAACAGATTTAACACACAAAAAAGAAACAATGGAGCAAGGTTATGCTGAAGACCAGGAAAGGCTGGCTGGAAGAAAGAGCAAGCCACATGAGCAGAGTGTGGATCTTTGTATCTTCTATCAACTGATCCACATAAGAGGATTCAGGTCTATGATACACTTGTTTGTATCTCAAGATAGAAAATTGATCCTTGCAGCTCATAGACTGTGGTTTGCTGATCACCCCAAGCAGCTGCATACAGTGTCTCAGAGAGAGGGCTTGGTCTGAGTTGTTTCCAAGCGAGAAGCCAGAGTTTAGCTAAGGGGCCTGTCTTCTATGGACAATCAGGAGGTACAGTTTGGACCTCATCTTTCCACATGAGAGTTCACTAAGATTTCCTAGCTCTCCTCAGGCAGTTAATCCAAGCTGCCATGACAAAGAAGCAACTTAAAAGTACTAATTTGGCAACATAATCTGTGTAATGTCTCATTTCCCCCTTCCGTCTCTCAGCTGCCCTTTCTCAAAATAGTCCATTGATGAAGCTGGTGTAAGGTTGTTTCAGGTCTCTGGACATGCCTGCTGATGTTCATGCTCTCCTCCATCCTGCAGAGAATGGTTATGTGTTCCTGACCCCAGTGCAAGCCACCAGCCAGGAAGTTGCTTTGGGAGACAGTCTGGAGCTGCAAGTACACATTGAGGCTTATCCAAAACTTCTCTACTGGGGCTGGGAGCACACAAACCCCTTGAACTCTGGGAGTACCACATTCAAGGGCCACATGACCTCTGGAAACAACTGGTATGTGCTTTCTGTCTCCTACACTGGCAATGACACGTTTCCAACAATACCTTCCTGGTGAAACAGGTAGACCCCTTGCTACTGGCTCACAGATAACTCTCAGGTTTTAAAGAGGGGAACTGTTCAGCCTTTTAGTCTCCTCTTTCCGGTATTAGCAAACCACAGTGGGCAGGTCTGATCAGGTCAAGGAGACACCACCTCTGTCTCACTTGGCAGCTTTCTCTTTAGCAAACCTTATGGTAGTCACTGTCATGTTTGTGGTCAGGTTTTCAAGTTTGCACTCTCCTTGTGGGAAGAAATAGTAGGGATTTCTGTACAAAAAAACCTGAATTCCCTCACTGCTCCTCAGACCTGTGCCGTGTTCTACTGTCTGGAGAGTGTATGTACAGAGCAGCTCTGTATGCCCCATGGCAAGAGAAGCCATGAAGAAGAAGAGAACTGTTATGTGGATAAGATCTAACAGAGGGCACAGCTCTGCTTCTTCAAAGCCTACAGCAAATTGAGGCCAAAAGGAGACTGAAAGGGGGAGAATCTTTCCATTTGGGCAATTCCCCTTTCATTTTCTCAGACACCCAAAATATTATACTAGAGGAAGCCACTCAGTGAGCATGGTGGCTTAGGGCATCAGGATCTGAGAAATGGGCTGGGGAGTGGGCACTAGGAACCATGACTTGGTGGGCCAGGAAATGGAAGGATCACTCATTCTGTCAAAGGCAGGAGGACCAGCATCCTCTAGCCCTTCAAAGGCAATGGTTTACATGTTCAACTCTCCTTTCTGAGGATTCACCCACCCATAGCCTTTCAGAAGAGCTATGCACTTGGTGGCAAAAGGTCTTTTCTCAAAGGAAGATCAGACCCTCCCTGCTTCTCCTGAAGAAGCAAGCAGCAGATTCCCCTTGTGGGCTGGGATTAGTGCTGAGTATTCACCCACTCCAGAACACAGAAAGCAGCAACACTTCACTGACCAAAGGCCCTGTGAGTGTTTAAGTTTCCTGAGCACAGTTTCCTTCATGGTGTTTACTCTTTCTCTGAGCAGGTACAACAATACACTCTTCCTGAACCGCCTGCAGGAAGGAGAGGGAGGTCTCTATACATTTAATGCCCTCAACAATGAGACCAATGCATCAGTTACCTTCAGTATCTCCCTGAAATGTAAGTGCTTGGCATTGCCCATTCTTTCACCCTGGTTTCCCTGCGGATGCTGCTAAGCTGGCAGCAAGTGGGGTGGGGTATCAGGGTGCTTCCAGCCCAGCACCCACAGGCCACACAGCCAAACTGTGTCTGGGACACAGCCCAGATCCATGTGTAACACAGGGGTTCCTAGTGTTTTATTGTCACACACATGGAAGGTGAATCAGAGCACAGGGAATATGCTCTTCCTCTGGTCACAGCACTTGCTTCTTATCTGCCTTCCTGACAGCTCCTCCGAGGGTCTGCAAAGTCAAGGTCCCAGCCAACGACTCCAGCATCCTCCAATGCATGGCCATTGGCTACCCTGCCCCGCGCATTGAGTGGTACCAGTGCTCCATTTACTCTGACAGGTAAGAAACGCCCAGGAGATGGAGCTCCTCCAAGGCACTTGCCCTTGCTGCTGGCATTTGCTGAGCAGCACCACGTGGGCTTGCTTACAGACCAATGCAGCAGAGCGTGTTCAGCAACGGGAATGCTGTCCTGCTAATAAAGAGGTTCTTGGGGCCTGTTTGAGGAGAGGGAGCAGGTACTCTTCCTCAAGTCCTGAGTTTGAAGAGTTCAGCCACTTGTGATTCATATTCTCCCAATGCTTTTCTGAGAAACATGTAAGTCCCTTGGAGAAGTGCACTGGTGTGGGTTGCTCTAGAGCTACATCCTGACTGCTTCTAGTTGTCTTTCTGGGACCTCCACAGATCTGAGGCTCTGCAAAGCAAAGACTTTCTGAGCTGTGGTGTGATGAGAGGCAGCAGCAGCTGCCTGTTTGGGGGTGGTTGTGTCTCAGTACCAGCCCCATTGAAGGAGGGAACTACTGCCAGAGCACAGTTAAGGTCCTGTCTATACAAGGCTTTAATGTCCAGGGAAAGGTCTCTTAACTAGGCAGTGAGTAACATGTCTCATAGAGCTGCAACCCTAATTCCCAGTGTCTCCTCTCTAGTCTGATACAGGCACCAATTCACATGGGAGCAACTGTGCTACAGAGGAACACTCATTCTCTCCTGTCTCTGCAGATACAGTGAGGACTATAAGTTGCTACTGAATGACTCCAGTCCCCAGGTGGTGAATATGCTGCCCTTCCATGAGGTGGAGGTGGAGAGTGCCATCCCTTTCCAGGAGCTGGGTCCCAATTTCACCTTCTGCTGTGTGGCTGTTAACAGAGAGGGGAATTTTTCTGACATGTTTCACTCGCTCACCATCACCAGTAAGATTCCAGCTGGTAGCTGGCTGGGGGAGAAACTGGGGGGTCTTGGGGTCCATCTTCCTATAAGTATGTCCCTACTGTGTTTCCAAGAGAAGTGGAATAGATTCCACAAGTCCTCTATATTCACAAGGAGATGGGAGGCTTTGGCATTTGCCAGTCCTAGGCAGAGCCTGGTGCCAAAGGCTAAGCCACACCATGAGCACCTTATACCTACAGGACTTAGCTCCAGGGTGCAGTTCAGCACCATCTTTTGGTGGGCTTGTTCAGGCTGCACAGATCTTGCTCCCCAGTCAACCTGACCTGAGGTGCTCTGGTGCTCTTTGTGTGGAAACTGGGGTGCATGAGGCACCTTTGCAGCCTTGAAGTTGGTACCAAGAACTTCCCTCAGTTCCCAGCAGCTCATTTGGGTGTCTCTGAGGCTAGTGCTGGGTTGAGTTGCACACTGGGGAAGTCTAAGTGAACAGCTGGGCAAAATGCTCCCAGAGGTGGAATTGAAACAGGAGTGTTTTACTCATCCCCATTTTTTTTACTTCTCCAGGAAGTGTCATGGCCCCTCCAAACAAGTTCTTCAGCCCTGTTCTCTCCACCTGCATAGGCACTTCGGTCCTGCTGCTCCTTCTGCTCCTCTTCCTCCTCTACAAGTACAACCAGGTCAGTTTCCCTGCTGCTCAGCAAGGGCTGTGACGCCTGCCAGGCCCAAAGCCCATTCTGGCTCTGCTGGCAGCCACAGTCAGAGAGCTTGGAGCTCCCTCCCTCACCTCCACTGCCTCCCAGCTTCCCCCAGGGCTTTCCTGCTGCAGGGCAAAGCTCAAGCCCCAAACCCAGTGTGCAAAGCTCTGGTCCTTCAGCCTTGTAACCTAGAGGTCAATGTGACTATTCCTCAGTACTTTTTCTGTGCTGTCAATTGCATCTGGTTTTGCTCTGGTCACCATGAATCCATAAACCAAATTAAGGAGAAAAAGTGATTTGCAACTTATATCTACTTTTTATCCTCCTCCCTCCTGTCTTTATGGGGAAACAGGATGATGTTAGAAGGTGTTTGTCTCCAGGAAGACTAGGTCACTATTTTTATACAAGAACTTGCCCTATTTTCTCTGCACAACTTATTTTCAGCATTTGGATTCCTTCTCAGTTGTTTACAGAAACTGTACCAATCAATAGCCACCTCTGTTTCATCCGTGGGTGAAAATCTCCTGGTTTTCAGCTCTCCCTTTGACACTTTTCCTTTGACAGCCCATCAAGGCTGCAAATTTTGCAGCAGAGTTCTATTGCTGGTTGTCAGAAGATCCATCAGAACTCTCTCCCAAACCAGCACCTACAGCTTTGCAGGCAGAGCTGTCTTTGGCCAGTAGTCCAGAGAGATGTAGATGGATTTTGTCCCTCGTATCTGTGCTAACTTAACTTTGAGCATCTACCCATAGACTGCATCCTTCTCTGCAGCTATCCAGGGAAAGTGGTGAGGGGAAGCATTGCAGCACACACCTCCCAGTTGCTGGGACCTGAGATGATTCATCTCGGCCCTGGTCATCCCACCCATGCTCCACTGTGCCTGCCTTGATGGACCTGAGACCACCTTTGCTACCCTGGGATGCAGGTCCTTGCTGCTCCTTGTGGCACATGCCAGCCCAGCTGCTTCCCTGCCTTTCTCTGTGTTTGTGCCTCCAGCCTGGCTCCCCAGCCCTCTCAACAGGAATGACAGCACCCAAGCTGGCAACTGCGTCTGCCCACAGGCTCCAGCACTGCTTCTCTCTGCTTTGCCTGGTTACTTCTGCCATGAGATTCGTGGAAAAGTGACTAAATTCTTACTTCTCTTTCTCAATTTCTTGTTTTCCCCTGTAAGGGAAGCAGGACTGGGCCAGCTCCACCGTTCTGCTGTGCTCAGCAACCCACGGTACCAAGGAGGGAGACAGAGAGGGGACATCTCCCTCCAACACCAGCTGGGTACTGTCAGCTGCTGGTCTGGTGGGATGTGCTGGCTCTGCCATCCCAAGTGAGGGCAGAGGGCTACTTTAAGTGAAAGAGCCAGGAGAGCCTCCCTTAGTCACGGGTGACAACTCAGAAGGACTTTGTAACAGCAAAGGGACCAGGCTGTCCAGATAGAGCTACTCTCAGTCCAGGTTGAAAGCAAGAAATATTTGATGGGCTGAAACCCAAGTCTTCTCTCTGTTCCTGCAGAGTGAGAGATAGAGTGTATCTGGGGACTTGGGGACACTCAGGACTTGAGGAACATTGAATAACTGGAGTCTCTTCCTTACAGAAACCCAAGTACCAGGTACGGTGGAAGATCATTGAGGCCTGTGAAGGGAATAACTACATATTTATCGATCCAACTCAGCTGCCATACAATGAAAAATGGGAGTTTCCCAGGAATAACCTCCAGTTTGGTAAGAAAATTTCCTTGCTGCTGGCCTGGTGGTGTGCAGTTCGCCACAGAGCTGAAATGCTCCAATGGACAGAGCCAAAGCAACTGGTCAAAACTCAAAGCTGCATCTAGACATTATGGGAACATCCTTAACCAGGCCTTGCTGCCCTCTTCCACAGAGGGTGTTAAATACTGGGGTACAACCTCCCTCTGGCCCTCTATTGCTCTGAGGAAGGTTAAGAGGATCACATACCTCCATTTGCATCTGGGATCATTCCCAATGCATAGACCTGGTGATTTCATGTGTGAACACAGGTTATTTCATACTGTCTTTGCACACAGTAGAGTTCCCCTCAGATGTTTAACCAGCTCCTGACTAAGGGATGTGTCATTTTGTCTGGGCTCAGCAGG